CGGCTATGCCAGCAACTGCAGATGCCATCCTCATCCTCAGGAGTTTGCCACTGTCTTGTGCAAGATGAGCAAACATCCAGACTCAGCCCAGAGCTAGGACAGAATTGTGTGCCCGGCTCAGCACCCTGCAGGGCTGGCCTGGACCCCAGACGTTTGCTTATCAGGCTACCTGTCTTTTTTTTTCCACCTTTGTTTTCCTCTGCTGGTTCCATAAAGGGTGGTCCTTCAGTTAGGAAGCATTTGACATTTTGCGTTGAAGGAGGGTGGGGGTTGCTACTCTGGGTCTTCATTATGCTGCACAGGTTCTTCGTTGCTGTATGTGGACTAAGTCATTGCAAGCCACGAGCTTAGTTGCCCCACGGCATATGGGATCTTAGTTCCCGGACCAGGGATAGAAACTGTGTCCCCTGCATTGGCAGGCAGATTGTTATCCACTGGACCACCAGGGAAGTCGAAACATTTGACTTTAGACAGAAAACTTAACTCAAGAAGGCATGAGCATTAAGGGGATTTATCATCATCACGTAATAATTCCAGAGGCAGGTGACTCTTGAGCTGGTCAGTTGTGTAGGTTCTTCCTCAGGGCCCTGACTCCACTCATGACCCACAAGGACTGCTGTGGCCCCAGGCAGAACTGGTGCCCCGTAGGAGAAGAGGGGAGAGCTATTCTCTAAGGATGAAGGAACTCGGTCACTTGCTCACCCCTGAACTAACCCCTGGAGAGGTCACATGGGACCCCCAGGATTGTCTTGTGTGCTTAGTCATTCAGTCATGTCCAACTCTTTGTGACCCTGTGGACTGTAGCCACACCAGGCTCCTCTGGCCACGGGGCTTGTCCAGGCAAGAATACTAGAGTGAGTTGACACGTCCTCCTCCAGAGGATCTTCCTCACCCAGGAACTGAACCCAGGTTTCCCCGCATTGCAGACAGATTTTTTTTACCTTTTGAGCCACCAGGGGAGCTCAAACCCTCAGAATTTGCTGAAGTCATGTGGTCGAGGGTTGGCTGCCACAGCAGCGTCCGGACTCCACCAGCAGGGACTGAGAAGGTGGTGCCTCTTGGAGTGGCAGCCAACAGTGGCTGCATTGTGTGTCCACCCTTTACCCAGCCATCCTATAATGCTCCCATCCCCAGCTCCACCCATCAGTGTAGGAGACTGACAGAGCACACTGGAGCCCTGCCCTCAGGACTCCACATCTGTCTTGGTACTTTCCTACGTGGCAGACTAGGAAGTTCAAAGCAAAGATCCTGGCAGCCCAGGCCTGCATCTGGGGAGTTTTGCCCAGAGCTGTGCATGGTGAGATGCTGGAATGTCCTGGTTTCATCAGCTTGACCAGGATTTGGCAGCGATACAGATGGCCCCAAATGGTACATATTCAGCATCTAAAGAATGGTCAGTGTAGGCCAGTCAGTTTGCATTGGGATGGGAAGAAGGCTCTTTAGTGAAAGAATTACATGAATGAACAAAGTACAGGTTTTCTTGATGGAGGACAGTTAGCTGAGAGATGAAGCTGGAAACATTTGTTCAGCTAAAGATAGTCCATCGAGGAATTCCCCAGTAATCCAGAGATTAGGACTCTGTTCTTTCACTGCCAGGGCCTAGGTTCAACCCCTGATTGGGGGACTAGGATCCCACACCATGCTGGCAGAAACTGTCTGGGAGTCGCATGCGGTGCTTTTATTTCATTGGCCAGAACTGCACGGGAGTCTGGTAAATGTAGTTTGTTAACCCATCACATTGCTGCCACCAGTACAACTTGGATTGTGCTACCATGGTGGAGAAGGAATGGCAATCCACTCCAGTACTCTTGCCTGGAAAATCCCATGGACAGAGGAGCCTGGTGGGCTACAGTCCATGTGGTCGCATAGAGTCGGACACGACTGAGCAACTTTACTTACTTACTTACCACGGTGGAAGCAGAGAATAGACATTGAGGAAGTGTCTGCCGCTCGGACCTCCTTACAGACCTAGCAACTGCCGACCATTTTCCTTTAGCACTCAGGATTTGATTCAGGCATTTTGAGGAGATGGAATAAACCCATCAACACTTGAGCTTCCAGCAATACTGGAGTCACATTTTACCAGGAGGTTGGCTGGGTGCTAAGTCAGCCAGTAAGGTGAAGACTCCCTGTGCTTTTTTGTTTTTTAAATAGAGTATAACTGCTTTATAATGTTGTGTTAGTTTCTGCTGTTCTACAGCTTGCATCAGCCATATGTGTACATTTTATCTCCTCTCTTTTGAGCCTCCCTCACACCCCACCCCCAACCCCACCTCTAGGTCATCACAGAGCACCAGACTAAGTGCCCTGTGCTATAAGGCAGCTTCCCACTAGCTATCTGTTTTGCACACAGTAGTGTACATATCTCAGTACTGTTCTCTCAATTCGTCCTACCCTCTTCTCCCACCACCCCCATATCCATAAATCCGTTTTCTACATCTGTGTCTCCATTCCTTCCCTGTAAACAGGTGCATCAATATTCTTTGTCTAGATTTCATGTATGTGCATTAATCTATGGTATTGTCTTTCTGTTTCTCACTTCACTCTGTATGACAGACTCTAAATCACTTGCATCACTACAAACAACCCAATTTTGGTTTCTTTCACACACACATATATATGCACCACATCTTCTTTATCATATACACCACATCTTCTTTATCCATTCACCTGTCTTTTTTTCCTGGAGGCATTAGAGTTCAGGGCCTGGAGAAGTGGGGATAATATGTTTTCCTGGCAGGTGAGGAAAGATGAAATTTCAGAAAGTCCAATGCACCTCTGCTGCCTGTATATGTGAAAGTCAGGAGCTTAGAGTTGGTCTTTGCAGAGACAGCCCTGGCTTTGAACTGGCAGGGTGACCCCAGAGAAGTCAGTTAACTCTTCTTTTGGATTTTGGGGGAGGGATTCCAGTTTATTATCCTCTCAAGTTGCAAGTGCAGGCATAGGAAACAAGTGAGGAATCAACAGTATCAGCTTGATTAATGGAGGCTCAGTGACTCCTCCAAAGTCCAGGGCTTGTGTCCATGGAATGCTTCTGGCTGCAAGTAACCAAACATTGTAGGAATTTGTTATCTCCCAGAAAAGGTTCAGAGGCAGAGCAGTTCCCAGGGAGGTTAAGCCAGCACCTTGACAATGTTGTCAAGGGCCCAGTGGCTCTTCCTGCCCCCTCTCTTCCACACTCAGCATTGGCCTTGTTCTCAGACTTGTTGGGAGAGGGCGACAGCTGCAAGTGGTGTCGTATTTGGACCCTGCAACATCTGGTGAGGAAGAGAAGCCATCTTTCCTTGTCATCTCCCTTTGGAGCAAGAAGACTTTCCCCCACAACCTCTCAGCAGACTTCCCCTGTTTCAGTCAGGTTATGCTGGTTAACAGACACCTGAAAATTGCAGTGACTTAAGTCACTGAAGGGGTTTCCCAGGTGACTCCATGATAAAGAATCTGCCTGCTAACGAGTTTGATCCCTGGGTCAGGAATATCCCCTGGAGAAGGAAATGGCAACCTACTCCAGTATTCTTGCCTGGGAAATCCCATGGCCTGAAGAAACTGGCGGGCTACAGTCCATGGGGTTGCAGAGTCAGATATGACTGAGCAACTAAATAACAACAAATCAACAAGGGTTTATTTTGCATCCACACTGCAGGTCCACCACTGAGTGGACCTGTTAGGACCCAGGCTCCCTCACAACACACTGATCGTCACACAGCCCCAACCAGCCAGTCTCAAAGGGCTGGAAGAGTCGTCCTGCCGTGTGTTTGTCAGGTGAAGAACCAGAAGTATTTCATGGGAGTCTTAATAACTCAAACCCTCTCACGTGTCCTCTGCCTTTCCTGACCAACCCCAGTCAGAGAGAGGGTTTCTGCCATGGAGGATTCTGATCTGAGGTGGAATGGATGTGGAGGAGGCACCCATAGGCTCCGGGTTCACACAGAATGTTGCTGGGACCCCAGGCCACAGAGAACCTTTGCCAGTCCCTCTGTTAAACCTCAGGCCTTGCCTGTGGGTCTGCAGGGCCCGCCTCCAGGAGAATCTCCCTCTAGGAGACATCTTTGTTATTTCATCCCTCCACAACCCTACATAGTAGAAAATGTCATTTTTCAGGTGGTAAAACCACAGCCCAAACTGATGAGCACTTGCCCAGCCAACGTCACGCAGCTAGTGAGGGGTGGAGCTGGGGTTGGGCCCAGACCTGCCTCGTGCTGACTCCTGAGCCTTCACCCTCTCCCCTGAAGCCCCTTCCTCCAGAAAAGAGACAGACAGACTCAACTCCAGCCCCTCAGCCAGTGGTATGACGTGTCAGTCTCAGGCTGTAAGTTCTGGGCACACAGCAATGCTTTCAGGCCTGCAAGGAAAGACTGACTGCAGCTGCCTCTTGACAGCTTGGGAAACTGTCGGGGCAAGGAAGTGACTGAACCTGGCTGGGCAGGAGGCCGAGGAGAGGTCTGATCCCCCAAGCGGCCTGCTTCCAGGCCTCCTGGACCTACAAATGGCTGCCTTGTTCTGCTCTCTTCCGTCAGAGAGAGAGGGAGCCCAAGACCAGCCTAGGAGTAGGGGCTGCTTACAGCAGCTCACCCTATTTCGTAGCCAAGAAACGGAACCCCAGAGGACTTCCCTGGTGGTCCAGTGATTAGGACTCCGTGCTTGCAATACGGGAGGCAGCTCCTAGTCAGGGATCTAAGATCCCACGTGCCGTGTGGTACAGCCGAAAAAGAAATGGGAACCTCGAGGAGCCTAGGGTCCTGAGTGCCTTCTGCCCCCACTCTTTCCTTGAAGACCCCACCTGGCCCTGCACGCCCTGCCACCACCGGCTCCCTGGCATGCTTCCCGGACAGCTCATTCCTGACCTGCAGTTAATAGCACGTTTCCAGGCTTACTCATCCAGCCTCCCAGCCTCAAGGAGCCTCCCGGGTATTTAAAACCCGCAGCGAGCAAGTCTCAGGCTCAGGTGGGTTTTGACACACCAGCCCTTCACCCTGTGCCCGCCTCCTCTTGCTCCCCTGCAGGTACACGGCCGCCCCACACCCGCTGCTGTCTTTCGAGCCGCACTTCAGCCACGACGGGACATCCAGCGGCGACTCCTCGTCAGGCGGCCTGACCAGCCAGGAGAGCACCATGGAGCGTCAGAAGCCAGGTAGGGGCCCCCCCCACCCGGGGCCAGACGTGCCCGTGGCCTCACCCTGCTGACCCGTTACTCACAGTGTGACGGGTAAAGCCCCTCCCCCTGTCAGTGATGGATAAAACACAAAAGCAAGCTGTAAGTGCACCACATAAGGTTAGAGAAGGCACCTGGGAGAATGGTAGGGACCAGTGAGCCGGATCCGTGTCCATCCAGACAGGGCATCAGCAGGCGGGGTCTGCCGTTGCTGTCAGTCAGGGGTTGGAGCACAGATGTGCAGCACGGAGGAGGGGACACCTGAAGGTGGTCCTCTGCGGGTGGGGGGCTGAGCTGAACTGGCAGTATCCTGAGACTGCTTATTACAGAATGCTGTTTCTCAAGTGTTATGCTGAGACACGAGCCCAAACCCAGAGCACCTAGTGTGATAATATAATCACAAAGTGAACACACCCCTGTTCCACACCCAGGGCGAGAGAGACACAGCCAGCCTCCTGGTAGGCCCCAGCCCCTCCCAGTCAGCACCCCCAAAGGCCACCGCGTCCTGTTTCTCACGGCCAGGTTTAGTCTTGCCTGGTTTTGAACTTCATGCATATGGAACATAGATTCCCACTGAACACACTGTGTGTGTGTATACATGTGTGTGACTTCTGTTGCTCAGTACTGTGTTGGTGAGGGCCTGCCACATGACTTGCAGCACAGTTCTAAGTAGTATATCCACTGTCTGAATGATCCACAATGTCTTACTCCACTCTAGCTTTGAAGGGCATTTGGGTTGGACCAGTTTGGGGTTGCTTAGAACAGTGTGGCCAGGAATATCCTTGTATCTGCCTTTTCTGAAGATGTGCACACATTTCTGCAGGGAATATATCCAGGAGTGGAATTGCTGGGTTATGCATTTAACTTTCTAAGAGATTGTCACACCACTTCCCACTCCCGCCAGTAACAGAGAGAGTTCTTATGGCTCCGGTCCTCCCCAGCCTTCATGTCAGCCGTCCTGGTGGGCTCATAGTGGTGCCACATTGTGCTTTTCATTTGCATTTTTCTGATGCCTGGTGAAACTAAACATCTCATCCGTTTACTCTCCTGTGTATAAGTATTAATCATGGCATGTACTCCTTGGATGAATATCTTCAACGTGATGTCTCCTAACAAAGCTGTTAGCCCCTTTGAACTGTGAGAACCAGCAGGTGATAGGTGGGTTCAAAAGAAAGAAAATCAATGAAGAATCAGAGGGTGCTTACTTCGGAGGGGGAGGAGATGGAGATATCCACACAGTGGGTGTTTGAGAATATCCAGGCCGTTCTCATGGGGGTTGACCATGTCTGCGCATCACTGGCTACCCCCTAGGTGCTGTGGGGCAAGGAAGGGTTGCTGCCCCAGGGTGAGCAGCCTGGAGAATCCCTCAGCACCTCCGCCCCATGGTTCTCTCCCTCTGTATGTGTGTCTCTTTTTCTTTTTAAATTTTCTTCCTTCCTTCCTTCCTCCCTCCCTTCCCGTTTTGGCTGCACTGGATCTTCGTTGCTGTTCAGTCTCTCTCTAGTTGTCGAGAGCGAGGGCAGCTCTTCATTGCAGTGCACAGGCTTCTCATTGCAGTGGCTCCTCTGGTTGCGGAGCCCAGGCTCTAGGCACACAAGCTTCAGCACGTGAGCTTCCGCAGTCCATGGTTCTGTTAAACCAGGGACAACAGTTGGACTTCAGCCAAGCAGGTTGCCCCCTCCCTGACCACACTCTCCCCATGTCCGCTGCCTCCGGGGCCTGCAGACACGGCTCGCTCCTCTGCTCAGCACGCTTGATCCCACCCGCAGGTCTGTGATCTCTGCTCCCACAGACAGGTTCGCTTCCTCCTCCCCACCCAGGTGAGAAAGAGAAACCTGGTGCTGGGAGATGTCATTACACCAGGGTGTAAGTGGGGAGGAAACTTCCCTAGCATTCACTATTCACTGTGGGCCCTAGATAAGGGGGTCACAGAAGCTCTCCATGGGCCCTCCTTCCTTCTGTCTTCAGTCCCCCACAGCCCTACTCCCTTCTCACCGCCTTGAGACTTTGTTGTAAGTTGGCTGACATTTCCCTGCACGCTCACAGATCAGCGTGGTCTGTGCTCAGAAGTCACCATAAAGTCCAGAGTGTATTCAAGCCACGGGGTGGGGGGATCCGTCGGAGGGGATGGACGTGGGGGAGTGCCCAGCCCTGGTCAGATGACTGTGGTCACAGCAACAGCAGCACAGTTTCGGGTGCTCCACACTCCCTCCTCTTTAATCATCTCAGGAACACAACAGAGGTGACCACCCCATTTTAGAAACGAGGAAGGTGAGGCCCCAAAAAGGTGTCTCTTGTCTGAGGTCCTGGCTGGTGAGTAGCTGCATTGAAATTTGGACCAGGACCTACTGGTTCTATACTAGAACCCCTCCTTGACCCACTCCTGCTGTAGATACCACCATAGTCCCTCACCCACAGTGTGAGCTGAGTATTAACTGGAAATAAGCAGAGTGCCTGGAGAGTGATTTGTGGGGTCTGAGGAGGTCTCTGAACAGATAGCTTTTCAGGAGAGGCTAGAAGAGTGTGAGGGTGACAGCTGGGAGGAGAACATTCCAGGGAAAGGGAACTGCTGAGCAAAGACCCCTGGGTGGCAAGGGGTCTGGTGTTGGAGAGACAGGAAAGAGGCCAAGGACTTGTAGAAGTGGTGGGAGACAAGGCCAAGGAGGTGGCGGGGACAGCGGGGTGGGAACTTTGTTCTTCACTCAGAACCACGGGGCTCAGCTCTTCTGGGCAGAAGGGGTTGGGATCTGTCTCAGGTGTTCACAGAGTCCCTCTGGCTACAGATTCACATGGGGCGGGGCCAGTGGAGGGGGAGAGATGGGCAGGTTCTGGATACAGTCCTTTGGAGGTAAAGTTAGGATTTGAGGTTCAAGGATGATAACTGGTTTCTGACCTAAGCAGCCAAAAGGACAGAGGAGACGAGATGGAGGTTTAGGGGAAGATAAGGAGCTGGCTTTGGCCATGTCCAGTAAGGAGTGCCCGGTAGACACTCCGTGGAGGTGTGTGGGCAGCTGTTTGTACAAGTCTGGAGTTGTGGGGAGATGTCCTGCCAGAGACAGAAATGTGGGAGCCATGGTGTCCTAGGTGGTAGAGAAGCTGGGTGTGACTGCCACGGGCTTGGCTCTCTGCAGAAATGTTGTCTCCTGGCATTTTCAGCCCTCCTCCCAGCAGACCAGTGCTTCCTGGGCGTCTCAGATGCTTCCCAGGAGGAAAAGCATCTCTGGAGGGTGAAGCAGGTGGACATAGTGGGCAGTGACACCCTCGACTGTGTCCAGTTAGGCTGCTCTCTCTGTGTCCCTGAGTGCCCTGCCTGGCCCTCCACGCCCACCTTCCCCGACAGGAACATGGGCCCAGAGCCCCCTAAGGTTGCACCAGGGGCAGCAGTGTGTGTACAGTGGTTAACTCAGGCTCCGATGGGCCTGGTGGGAAGTTCTGAGTCAGCTGTATGACCTTGGCGATGACTTCATCTCTCCCAGCCTCAGGTCCTTCTTCTGCAGTGGACACCCTGAGTGTCTTTCCTTGCAAGGTGGTTTTGGGATCCCGTGACATCACGCCTGTCCAGCCCCAGCACAGGGCCCAGCCCATCATTAAGAGAATGACAACTACTCCAGCTCCTGGAGTGCTTACTCTGCACTGTTGCTGGCGTGGTCATCGCTGGGGAAGTGCAGGCCTGAAGCTCTGTGTGACCTTGGACCAGTTATTTAAGCTTTCTGAGTCTTGGTGTTCTCCTTCATCTATTAAACTGGCACTAATATCCACCTCATAATATCACTGGGTGGTTATAGCAAGGTAATGCAGGCAGAGCGCTTATAGTAGTACTGGACACAGAACATGTGCTTAATGATAATCATCATTATGAGTGTTTTAACTGCAGCACTGATCAGAAGTGTGAGCTCTGGGGTTAGACCACTGGGGTTTGGGTCCTCTGTTAGTGCATTATGTGTTTGTAAGTTTGATAGATATTAGTTAGCCCTCCATTTAGATTGTATATATGTACATGTGTTTAACTTTTTATTTTATATTGGAGTATCGCCAATTAACAGTGTTGGGATAGGGATGTCCCCGGTGGCTCAGTGGTAAAGAATCCACCTGCCAGTGCAGGAGACACGGGTTCGATCCCTGGTCTGTGTAGATCCCACATGCCAAGAGGTCACTAAAGCCGTGTGGCAGAACTGCTGAAGCCCACACTCTAGAGCCCGTGCTCTGTAAGAGAAGCCACAGCAATGAGAACCCTATGCACCACAACTAGAGTAGCCCCTGCTCACCGCAGCTAGATAAAGCCTGTGTGCAGCAATGAAGCGCAGCCAAAAATCAATAATTTGTTTAAAAAGGAACAGTGATGTGATAGTTTCAGGTGGACAGCAGAGAGCCATATACATGTATCCATTCTTCCCAGAGGTTGTGTGTTTTTTTAAGATCTGATGCTCCATTCAGGCACGTTGACCAGCCTTGGGAGTTTAGACTAATTTACACCCATAGCAGCCATCGTGATTTTAAACCTGTTTCACCTTTGAACCAGCCATTTCACTTGGAGAATTCTGTCCCAGACACAATTCCACACTTGTTCAAAGTTGAATGTAGAGAAAAGGCCAGCAAAATGTGAAGAAAAATAGAAAATAACCTGAATATCCATCAGTAGGAAACTGGTTAAATAATTGATGTCCATTCAGTGATGGAAAACTTTGCAGCTGTTAAAAATAAGATAACTTCAGTTCAGTTATGTGAACATGTGTCATGAGGATACACAGCGAAAAGCAAGTGTCAGTATATTTATCTGTAAAGTGAGAGTTAAATTGTCAGACAATGCTTATTATGATTCTGCTTCCATTTAACCAAAAAAGTTGTGCATGGTTAACCAACAAAGGAATGCTACCTTAGCAAATGTAAAGAACCCTGTTGAGGGACCTCCCTGGAAGTCCAGTGGTTAAGACTGCACCACCACTGCAGTGGGGGGCGGGGGTGGGGGGAGCGGTCCCGTCCCTGATCCCTGATCAGGGAACTAAGATCCCGTATGCCATGTGATGTGGCCAATAGAAAAAGAAAAAAGAACCCTGCTCAGCAGAAAGTGGTCATTTCCATAGAAAAATTTAGAAAGGATATGGACAAATAATTTATAAAATAGAAAATCCAGGTGGCCAGGAAGGACGAAAATGCATTCAACCTCCTTTGAGGGTTGAGGGTTGTTGCAATAAGGCTTCACCAAGTCAAGCTATGTAAAGCACTAGCATGGTGCCTGGCACTTAATAAGTGCTCAGTAAATACTCTGTCCATGAGCGTTGCTAGACCTTAAGACCTGAGTGGATAGGGGTCATGGCCGTGTCGTGGTCACAAGCTGAGTAGACAAGCTGGCAGAGGAATGGAACCATCGAAACTACATGTAGCGCCAGATTCTTCAGGTGAATGCCTGAGTCACCTCTAACCACTGGTGTGTCTTCTGTTGCACTGCAGAGCCTTTGTGGCATGTGCCCGCCCAGGCCCGGCTCTCAGCCATGGCTGGAAGCAACGGGAGCAAGCACGCCTCCAGGCAGGACGCAGCAGGCAAAGATTCCCCCAACAGGCATTCCAAGGTGAGTCCGGGCCCCGCCTGCCAACCCTGGGGAGCCAAGGCTGTGGGAGCCAGCTGCCTGACCCGCCCTGGCTGCCGACAGCTGGACGGCTTCACAGCTTCACCTGGGCATGCTCCTCTTCCGCCCCCTCCCACTCCAGCAGAGGGGCTAAATGCCTGGTCTGGAATTAGATCTAGCCAGTAGTGCATCCTGGCTCCAGCCCCTACCGTCCATGTCATCTTGAGCAAATCACTCACTCCTTCAAGCCATGATTTCCTCATTCCATCCGCCATGGTTGATGTCTTCACCAGCTCAGGCTGCCCTAACTAAAACACCACAGACTGGGTGGCTGATAAACAGCAGTTACTGATTTCTGCTAGTTCCAGAGGCTGGAAAGTCTAAGGTTAAGGCACAGGCAGGTCCAGTGTCTAATGAGAACCTGCTTCCTGGTTCATGGACAGCCTTCGCCTTACCTCATGTGTGAAGGGAGCTCTCTGTGGTCTCCCTTATACGGATATAATACACATATATATGGATTTTATAACCCCCTTCCTTCATGAGGACTATATAAACATATATAGGATAAATATGTGAAAACATATAGGAGTTTGTAGTCTCATTCATGAGGGCTCCACCCTCATAACCTAATCACTTTCCAAAGGCCCTCCCTCCTAATACCATCCCACTGGAGATGGGAATTCAGTGTACGCATGTTGGGGGACACAGACTGTTCAATCTTTAGCAACAGGTTAAATGTCTCCCAGGCGACTCAGGGGTAAAGAATCCTCCTGCCGGTGCAGGAGACACAAGTTCGATCCTTGGGTTGGGAAGATCCCCTGGAGGAGGAAATGGCTCCCCACTCAAATATTCTTACCTGGAAAATCCCATGGACAGGGGAGCCTGGCAGGCTACAGTCCACGGGGTCACAAGAGTCGGACATGACTGAGCGATTAAACAACAAACTGCCATAACAGACAGTCCCCAGGTCCTAGTGACCTCACAAAATATAAGTTTATTCCCCTCTAATGTAGCAATTCAGTGTGGGTGTTCAGTGTAGCAGCTTTTTGCAGGATTCAGGAACCCAGGCTCACTCCCTCTTGTAACGGTTCCTTGGGGTGCCAGAGCCCTCTAATGGGTCCTTGCCTCTTTCTAGCAGGTGAGGGAGAAGGGAGAAAGGACCTTTTTTGACTCAGACCTAGACAAGGCAGAAATGACGTCCACCTGTAATGTTACATTGGCCAGGATGCTGTCACGTGGCCACATCACTGCAAGGGGAGCTGGGGGATGTAGTCCTGTGTGGCCAGGAGGAGACTGAGAGCTTGGCAATCTCTTCACATCCGTTCATTCAGTGAGTGAGTGATGAGCATGGACCATGGTCCAGGTACTAGGACCCCAGGGATGAAGAGGACAGGTGAGCCCCCGTGCTCACAAAGCTGACATTCCAATGTGGGCAACAATCAGTCAGCAGAGAAACAGATTCATTATATAATGGCGAGAACTGATTCTTACTGCAAAAGAAAAAGTCCAGTTAAGGGAAAAGAGAGTGTCAGGCACAGCTGCTTTAGGATGAGGTGGTCAGAGAAGGCCTTTGAGGAGGTAACCTGTAAACAAAACCTTGAAGTAAGCGGCAGCCCGTGAAAATCACCTGAGGGAAGTGCATTGACACAGAGGAAACAGCAAGTGCAAAGGCCCTGAAAGAACCGTGCACATGGCGTGCTCAGAACAGCGAGGAGGTCGGTGTGGCTGGGACGGAGTGAAGTTAGAGACTGAAACCCGGAGCCAGGTCATACAGGGCCCCAGGGGCCATGGAGAGGACTCTGGCTTTTCCCAAGTGAGAAGGAGGGTTCTGAGCAGGGCATGGACATGAGTGTTCACAGCCTGTCTCTGGCTGTGTGTAGGGCACAGGCTGGGGGCCAGGGATGAGGGGAGACAGACAGGAGTAGGAAGACGGCAGGAGGCTGCTGCCATGGTCCGGTGGGAAGCAGTAGCGGACAGGACCAGGTGGAGTCTTGAAGGGAGGCAAGCTGGCAGGTTTGGATCTATTTTTGAAGACATGGGCAACAAGATTTGCTGCTGGACTAGATATAGGTGTGAGAGCAAAAGCAAGGTCCAGAGTGACTCCACAACGCTTGGGTGAGGACAGCCGAAAGGACGGAGGTGCCCTTAGGAGACAAGGAAGAGGTGAATTCAGGAGGGAGGGCCAGGAGCTCAGTTCCAGACACACCGAGCTTAATGTTGGCAGCACGTTATGTAGGCAGTGTCATTTATCCCTCTGAGCCACCCCATGGAGCAGGGTTGTTATCAACCCATTTCACAAATGTGGCAACTGAGGCACAGGGAAGTTCAGTCAGTGGCCTGAGGTACCAAGGTCAGTAAGTCAGAGAGCCAGAGATCAAAGCTGTCTGGCTCCAGGGTTCACACTCAGATGTGAGGCAAGCCCCAGTGGGAGGGTAGGTTGCCCCCTACCCACCCCCTCCCCAGCCTGGGGTCTAGGAATAATGACACAGTTCTCCTGCCTTCCAGGGGGAGCCCCAGTACTCCAGTCATTCCAGCAGCAATACCCTCTCCAGCAACGCTTCCAGCAGCCACAGCGATGACCGTTGGTTTGACCCCCTGGACCCCCTGGAACCAGAGCAAGACCCTCTCTCCAAGGGTGGCTCTAGCGACAGTGGCATCGACACTACCCTCTACACCTCCAGCCCCAGCTGCATGTCCCTGGCCAAAACACCTCGACCGGCCAAGCCGCACAAGCCCCCGGGAAGCATGGGCCTCTGCGGGGGTGGGCGCGAGGCCACCGGGCGGTCTCACCATGCAGACCGGCGGCGGGAGGTCTCACCCGCCCCGGGCATCACTGGACAGAACAAGGGCTACCGACCGAAGCTGTACTCCTCAGGCTCCAGCACCCCGACCGGCCTGGCCGGGGGCAGCCGCGACCCATCCAGGCAGTCCAGGTGAGGCTCCAAATCTCGCCCGGGTTCTTCAGGGGTCCTGACCACCTTCCACATCCCCCACGGTCCTGATGGTGGAGCTCCCCTCCCCAGAAATATGCTCACAGGTGGGTGTGCTCACACATTAGTGTGCTTACAGATCTGGGATCCCATGGACCATCCCCGGCTACCCATCCACTGGCCTTTAAGGATCTCGGTGGAAGAAGGAAAATCCTTGTCTGTCTGTCTCTGGTCCACTCTGACCCTCAGTCTCTTTCCTTTTTCTCTTTCCCAAGACCAGTAGTTTTTATGCCTGCTGGGAGTCACACACTGTTTCTATTAGGAGTGCATTTGGCTGAAGGTAATAGAAAACCAGACCCACAGAGGCTTGAACAAATAGAGATTTAACAGTTCCCCGTTGGGAAGCCCAGGGAGGGCAGAGCTGGGCTGGTGCAGCAGCAGCTCAGGAAGGGCCTTGAGGCCTGGCCCCCTGTGTCTTCTGCTCCATCGTCGTCCTCGTGCTGGCTATGACTTCCTGGTTTCCAGATGGCTGTGGTGCCCCGGGAGGCCTGGGGGCAGAGAACAGAGGGAAGACGGCAGCATCCTTGTTGCTCCCTGACTGTGGAAAAAGCGAACGCTTTCCCAGAACCCCTTCCACACGCAGTGTCACCTGCCCATGTTTGCTGCAAGAAGTCTGGGGAATCTTGGCTTAGCCTTCGAGCCTCCATAGTAAAGGGCAGTGTGGACCCCAGATGGTCTCCACTGGAGGGCTGTTCAACACCCATTCCCCTAACCTACTGGGCGGGGCCTGAGAATGTGCATTTGTACAGGGTTCTGTGTCGGTGCTGACGCTGTTGGTCCCCAGACCGTGCTTTGAGAACCACTGGTAGAGAGGCAGACGGGAACAAGTGAAAACGAAAGGCATTGACTAACCAACAACCTGGAGTCTATGCCGCATGGGTGTGCGTGTGTGCTCAGTAGCTTCAGCCGTGTCTGACTCTCTGAGACCCCATGGACTGTAGCCCACCAGGCTCCTCTGTCCATGAGATGCTCCAGGCAAGAATACTGGAATGGGTTGCCATACCCTCCTCCAGGGGATCTTCCCGACCCAGGGGTCCAACCCCTGGCTCTTAAGTCTCCTGCATTGGCAGGCAGGTTCTTTACCAACTAGCGCCACCTGGGAAGCCTGAGTACCGCATACACTTTGAGAATCCAATGGAAGCCAGAAGTGCCTCCTGTAACAGTCATTCTGCTGTCATCCGAGGTCTGTGGCCCCGGGCAATGAGTACAGTGCTCCAGCCCCCAGTGTGGACCCCTAAGTGTGGGTCCACCTCCCCAGGTCCACAGTGTGGACGCCTCCCTTCCCTTCCCTGACCGCACCTGAGCAGGGGCCAGGACCGCATTAGGGATCTTCATCTCCCTTGGCTTCCTGACACCTTGGCCAGTCCCCAGACCTGCGCCTCTCTCCACACAGGGCACACGCCTGGCAGTGGCCTCGGACCTCCGTGACCACAGCCCCCGGTGGCCCCTGGGTCTTGGTCTGTGTAGAAGTATCTGTTTTTTTGAAGGTGAAGCAGAGCTTCACTGGTGGTCCAGTGGTTAAGACGGCTTCAAATGCAAGGGGCACAGGTTGGACCCCTGGTCAGGGAACTAGATCCCACGGGCCACAAGACATGGGCAAAAGAAAATGTGTTTTCATTAAAAAAAATTTTTTTAAAGGTAGAACAAAAATCTCCCTCGAAGTTCTTAGTGTGATGGTGCAGAGTCCTTTAGTCCAGTCTAGTCCATTCAGAATGATTGTGCTGCTCGCTGCCTCCTTCAAGGATCGCATGACCTCATAGTGGCTCTCCTCTCACCAAACTCGGTTTCTGCTGCTCATCACTCAAAAGCCAGTATTTGGGAGACTGGCGTTGGCTGGAAAGAAAAATACACAGTAGTCTGAGGTGCTGGAGCTTAGAGATTCAAGTATAACCAGATTTTAAGACCAAGAGGCTACTGACACTGACAGATTGGAAACCTCCGTGTTTGGGAGTGCCTGCGTGTCAGTGCTGTCCCTCACCCTGGCCCCAGTCCTCCTGGAGTCGGGAGCCAGGAGAAAGGTGAGTGTGGAGAGGAAGGGTCTCCCAGGGACCTAAGTCTCTGTCACAGTCTGCCTCACTAGACAGATCTCTCTTTTTTTTTTTTTTCTAATTTATTGATTTACTGACTGTGTCAGGTCTTAGTTGCAGCACACAGTGTCTTTCACTGAGGTCCTTGGGCTGCAGAGTGCTTGAGCTCCCCAGTTGAGGCATATGGGCTCAGTAGTAGTGGCACATGGGCTTAGTTGCTCTGCAACATGTGGGATCTTAGTTCCCAGACCAGGTTTCGAACCCACATCTCCTGCATTGCAAGGCAGAATCTTAATCACTGGACTACCAGGGAAGTCCCTAGATAGATAGACCTGAATCATTGGAACTCACGAGCTCTTTCGAACAGCTCCTTCATTCATTTATCTACCATTCATTTCATTCACAAATATCTCTCAGGGACTTGTTTTTTCCGAGGTTCTAGGCGAGAGCTGAGGAGAAGGAACAAGTAAATGCAGATGAAATGCCTAGCCCTCCCCTCACCCACCATCCACTGAGGGAGACAGTCTAGAATCAGGTCATCACTGAGACATGTCTGAGGGCACCCACCAAGGACTCGCTGCCGTGGGGTGCCCAGGTCTCCCCTGCTGGGCACAGGCCTATAATAGTAAAGCTGAGTAGCTGAAGGGCTTTGGAATGTGTGCTATAAAAGCACCGGTGCTGGGGAGTAGACCATGGCTGAGGCAGGAGGAGTGGGTATAAAATTACCCTGTGTCTGAGAGAAGGATTTGCTGAACCCAGAAATGAAGGGAGTAAAAGGGGAGAGGCACCACTTCAAAAGAGGGCCCTGTGGTTGGGAGCTTTAATTTGCATGCAGACAATTGATGCTAATTGCAAATCATTCTTATCTACTCATTAAAGCTGCTTCCTGAAGTTTTCTCCTAGGCAACCAGGCTTTAGTGTGGAACAGCCTTTCCCAAAATGGGGTGCTCAAGGTAATTTGGGTGGTGCGAGGAGGAAAATGTTTTATTTAAAATGGGTATTAGGAAAAGTGTTATCAACTTATCCCCTGATTTTACAGATACTGCCTTGGACAAGTTAAGGAAAATTAAATGAATTGATTTAAAAAAACAAATGTACTCACAGTCGATGAGAGTGTGGACTCCAGAGTCAGCCCACTGGGGGTTTGAGCCCTGCCTCTGCCTTCTGTTGGCTATGTGGCCTTGGACAAATGGCTGAACCTCTCTGGGCCTCAGTTTCCTCATCTGTACAATGGGGGCCCAGTCACTGTCCCTAACCAAGGCCGTGTCGGTGTCTCTAGCTGAGGCCCTGATGCTGTCACTCACTAAGGACCTGAGCAATTTCTAACTAATGTCCCAAGCTGTCCCTAACTAAAGCTTGACCTTGTCACTAATAGCCTGAAGCTGTCCCTAACCAAGGCCCTGATTCTATCCCTGACCGAGACCCTGAGTGCGTGCTCAAATGCTAAGTTGTGTCCAACTCTATGTGTGTGCGCGCGGGTCCCACCACCCCCTACTGGCCCTCCCCCCATCTTCCCAGAGGGTCCCTGAGCACCTGTGCTTGAGGGGCCCACATGTGCTTCTGACTGCCGCTGGCCCCACCTGCCCCTCGCTCGGGGCAGTCCCGTGCTTCTGCTGTCACAGTTCCATTCCCTGGGGCGGGGCTGGAATGACACCCTGCTGCCCAGTCAGCTCCCCGCAGGCAGGCATGAGCCCTCCATGGCTGCCCTTGTGACTCCTTCCGGGCCTTTGTAGCCCAGCAGTTGTTGCTCATTCACGTAGCAGGCGCCAAGTGTATGCACAGCTCTGTGCCTCAAACTGTTCCCTAGATCTCCTGGAACAGACAGGGTGCTGGGGGAGACAGCAGGCAAATAATTGCAAAAACAGTGAGTGAATTATGCTAGGGGAGTGCCTGCAGGGCAAACGTCCTGGAATCTGAAGGGATGTGATGCGTGGCTGGAAGGGTGTCTGATCTAACGGGATGGGGGGTGGGAAGCGGGAAGGGATAATTTCCCTGAGGAGGAGTCATTTCTACCAAGGACCAGAGGGTTAAGAGGGAAGGAGCAGGTAAAGTGGTTTCTGGGGAACTGATGATTTCATCTTGATGCAGTTATGTGGGTGTTTGCTTTGTAACTGTTTGTTAAATTGTACATATATGTTTTGTACACTTTGCTATATGTGGGCTATTTTACAAATTTTTTTAAGAGAAAAAGGAAAGATGATGTATGGAGAAAGTGTCCCTATGAGCAGAAATAGCATGTGCAAAGGCCCTGGGGTGGGGAGGAGGGTGGGTGCTGGAAGGTCACAGGCCGCTTGGCTCCAGGATGGAAATTGGGAGGGCAGCTAATGGGAAGTTGGGGAGGTTGGCAGGGGCCAGATCACGCAAGGCCCTGTCAGCCACAGCACAGAGTTTGGACTTAGTCCTAAGAGCTGTGGGCAGCAAGGAAGTGTTTCAGCAGAAAGGATGATACGGGCAGATAGATGTTTTGAAAGATGGTGCTAGAGGCAGGATTGGAGAAGTGTCAGGGATGTGTCTAAGGCTGAGACATCAGTGAGAAAGGAGGAAGGGGGCCTGGACCAGAGGGCAGAGCAGCTGTGGATGTGTCAGCAGTGTTACTGCCAGGATGTAAGAAGGGAGGAGACAAAGGTCCAGGACAGTGCTGGCGACTGCTCATGTCAGGAGGCTACTGCAGATATGGGGGTCTTGAGATTCGTGAGAGAGAAGAGAAGACTGGGGCTAAGCAGCCCCCAGAGGAATGTTACTCTTTGTTTTTTGTTGTGCTGGGTCTTCATTGCGGCACGCAGGCTCTTTGTTATAGCTCACAGGGTTTCTCTAGTTGTGGCACACGGGCTGTAGAGTGCACACACATGGACTCAGTAGTTGTGGCACGTGGGCTTAGTTGCCCCATGGCATGTGGGATCTCAGTTCCCCAGCCAG